CAGATCAAGCCGAAAATGGATTATTGCTGCCATATATGGATAGGGGCCGCCCAATCTTCACTTCACATGAGAGAATCCAAAATCGTTTCCGTATATTTTGTAGGTGACGAAATATTTTCCACCACAAAACTCCTTCCTCACAGACTATATGTAACAAGTCTCTATTAACACTATCGCCATTTACATGTGAGGTTATTCAGATGTACTTCAATCTTTAGTTCCTACAGTCATATTCTCCACGTCTAAGATCCAACATACCATGCACATTGTAACTCATTTATTTCATATTTCATTGGGAAAGTTCTTTGCACGAACCTCTGCCTGATGGAGCCAACTCCAAATATGATGCTTCTCCAGTCACAGGCAATCTTAACATATTCAAGTCTACGCTTCACGGCTATCATCTGTAGATATCTGTATAAGGTGGGCCTCTGAATTTATAACCATTTATCTCGAGTGGAACTTCGGCTACGAGTATCTGATTTTGATATATGAATAAATAACCCGAGATATCAATTGCTACTTCTAGATCTGTACAGTCATATATTCTCAAATATTATCTTTCGGAATTTACGCATGAACATATATATCTATAGCAATCAACACAGTAGTCCCGCAGGAGTCACTTCTTGAACCAATCCTCTATTAACTTTACATAAATTATCTGCATATGTGTATACTCAAATCATTTGTAAATATCTATAACGATGACACAGTTTGTGATAGCAAGATATTGGCAGCTGACCTTCATCGGATCTAGCTCTAGCATCTCAGAGGGGGAATATTGACTTGTTACATTCAGTGCCTGGATAACCAAATTACTTACATTCCATCATCTCCAATCGGACGGATGAGAGAATGTCCCCTCTAGGACGCGCTGTGATTGAGACACTATTGCCAAGTTACCCAGTCCTAACATTCCAGTTTCGATAGTGTCCAAGTATTCGGCTCACATGATTCATCGTCAGAGTGTTTATTTAGAATTGACAGAAGAGATGTTGAACGTCAAATATGGTATCCTGTTTTTTTCATAGATGTTTGATATGCAATGATAACAGTCACGGAATAGCAGATGGTTGACATGACAAGTTGTAAGGCTCATGTGAGTTGAAATCTTAGATCGATGCAAAACATTAGAAAAATATCCAAATGTACATTTTTTACTTCATTTTCTCCTGAACTAAAAACTAAAGCCATTATACGAAGCTTAAAAGCGTTCGTGATAAAACATAATAGGCATTCGTTATCTGTTTTTATATGTCTATATATATATATATATATATATATATATATATATATATATATATATATATTTAAACATATCTAACAGACAGCGAATATTATTACTCTTCAAGTATGAATTGATTTCACCGAGCCGCTGGAGTATTTCCTATGAAAGAAAACGATAAAATCTCTTTTCTTTCTGCGAAGATGACCTTGGGTTAAGATATCTGACTGATTTCAAATCAGTCGGGTTTCTATCCCGACCTGAATCAATCAGACGTCTAGCGACGCTAAGGAGCTGTCATTCGGCCAACCTGTCTGTCAGTGGATGGCAATATATATATATATATATATATATATATATATATATAACATTCTTGGCAGAATTATCATCTCTTCCCCATTACTCTTTCTTTCTTTCTCCTCTCTCTCTCTCTGTATATATATATATATATATATATATATATATATATATATATATATATAATCTCTGCCTGTGTATATGCCTGAATATATATATATATATATATATATATATATACACACATAAATATATATCTCTCTATATATATATATATATATATATATATATATATATAGATAGATAGATAGATAGAGAGAGAGAGAGAGAGAGAGAGAGAGAGAGATAGACAGACAAAGAGAAATCGGGAGATTATAAATCTGCCAAGAATAGGATATTACTATACCCGGACTCGTTATTGTATTAAAACTTATCAGAATAATCATTAGCTTGAAACATCTTTATCATATATGTTTAATTTCCTGTTGTGTATGTACACTTATACATGTGTGTGCATGCGCCTTATATATATATATATATATATATATATATATATATATATATATATATATATATATATATATGTACGTGTGTGTTTTTCGCGCGCGCATGTAGTAACGTTTATATCATACTTTATATGTGTTTTCATTCCTGATTTATTTGATATAAGAGATATAAGCGAAACCCGGATATAAGAGAGATTTTCTCTGGTCCCAAATTAGAGCCTGTGTTAATGTATATAAAATATACCAAACCCGGATATAAGAGAAACCCGGATATAAGATACTACTTCTCCGGTCCCGACAACTCTCTTACATCCGGGTTACACTGTACAATGAAACTGAACAGGTCTCTGTGCATTTAATTTCACGTAAACAGGAAGCACATTAACAATCAAACTTCTGTTCCTTTCATATGATTTATTAAAAAAAAAAAGAAAAGAAATTGATGCTGTCTTTTGGATATCGATATCTTATGGCTAATATCTCCAATGCAAATATCAACCGGGCAACCTATTCACATGTGTCGAGAGTATTCATTAAAATACAAGACCGCTCAATTCCTCCTATTTCAGTATTTGCCTTCAAAGTGAGAGGGTTTATTATTGCCATGCTCAATGTCAGCAGAATTATCCCTGACCTGCAGTCATTTCTCGTCTGTTTCCTCCCAGGGATACCCGCCGCTCGGCGCGAATTCGCTGTGGTATGGAAGTAGAATCGTAAGAGAACTAAATGTATAACATCGAGCACGATGTTACTTTGCACATCGACATGTTTGGCCTGCATTGTATACTCGTGTGTCATCACTGTCAGAATAAATATAACGATAAATACAATTTTCACAAACCGGAAGTAGAATCTATAATATGGAGGTGGCTTCACCTTTAATCTAAGTAGTAATAGAATAGCAATAGAAAGAGCTAACCTGAAAACCATTTAGCATACCTTGTTTTCACATTAAATGTAGCTTCTCTTTCTGTGCAATATATTCCTTCAAAATATAAGGGACCATTGCTCACCACTATTCAGCCGGTTATGTGCCATGCGTGATACACTCGTAGGTGATCATGTATCGAAAGATACATGACTGACAACGAAGATTTTTCCCTTAGTATGTTGCTATTTCTTTCTGTGGTAGACCAGTTGCTATCCAAGTCTATAGCTGGGGGAAGAAGAGGATTCTTCAAGGGTATAAGCACATATGTACATAATGGATTTGAATGGAATTCGAACACGGCTCTACGATTCCTCAATCCGAGATTATATCGATTACACCACTGTGCCCTCCTTACACCGCCGTGAATCCACTACTATATATTCTTTATTTCCTAGCATTTCTGTTTGCTTAATATCCCCCAACCCTCGCATTTTCAATTTGTTAAATAGATGATTCGTTTGTTTCGGCCTGTCCCATTTTAGCAGAAAATGTTAGTTAAATTATGAATTGTGTAGTTAGTTGTTTTAAAATAAAGATTTCTTAAATTGCCCTTTTTTTTCCTAGGTGAATCAAAAACTTTTCGACCCAAATATCTACAGGAAGATGATAGATGTTTAACTCTAAAATCTTCAATTTGAGACACTGCATGACTATTCTAATCTGCGTAAATATTTGTTGGCTTACTATAACGAAGCAGAGTTGGGAAAATTTAAATGTTGGGAAATGGTATTTAATCATGTATAATGTAATTATTTTTCTTTTTGTATATACTGTGTCGTTTCAGGACGCGGGCTCTTATGGAATTCTACAACTTTGTAGCTCTTAGTAAAAGCTGTTGTTTCGCTATATCTCATAGTTCCATTTCTGCCAGACATTTACACATAATGTCATTGTATTCTTTTATTATTAAGTTTTGAAATATGTAGATTTGTTCAAAAAATCGCATTAATGGCTGATTCTAAATGATATTTAGTAACTATAGAAAACATTCTTACGATATATATTTTAGAAAAGACTTAAATAAAAATTAAACTTTTTTTTTTATCGTAATGTTTGTACCTGTGGTCATATATTTTTTTTTTTATTTAAGTTCCACTGAATATCATTAGGCAATATAAAATACATTAAAAACACCTTAATTAAAGAATGGTAGTAATAAATCTATCATTACGTGGGATATTTTAGCAAGAGCCGAATCATACAATGGGAAAGGTAATAGATGTAATTCGTGTCTTGTTGAAAAAATACCTACCTCAAATCACTTAAATAACTCTAGCTTATTAAACGAGAGAAAAAATATTATGATTATATGTAAGGATAAAAATAAATATCTGCTCAAATACGTTGATACAGATTAATATTTAATTGTCAATTATGCTTTTTTAGAGAACCAGTAATCTTCGTTTATGCTTAATATAAAAATCTAATATTCATAACTCTCTAATATATTCTTGTTTTAACATGTATATATAAATCACGTTTATTTTAAATGCCAAATATATTCTTAAAATGAAAAAAAATATAATCCTAGTATAATATATAACTGCGCCATCTTTCCATAACCAGATGTTTTTGTTAAAATTTAAATTACCTAACGGTCAGTCTATACTCAGCACTTGAATTTTGCGTTGTGTATGAAACTCCGAGTCGTACTATCGGTGAGGGATAATATGCATATTTAATTATATATATATATATATATATATATATATATATATATATATATATATATATATATTACAATAAACCATTCATACAAAAAGTAAATGGGTAAAAATGGCGAATTCACTTCGCTAACTAAATTCTAAAAATACATTAACCCAGAAACCAGACAATGAATTTCATGAACCTTGATTTTTTTTTTAAATTATGAACTGTGTTACTTTTTCCTTAAATATGAAAGTAATTTCGACTGGTTCTCCAGTCACCATCAGGCGTGGAAACTATTTTCCTTTTGTTAAAATTCAGGTAGCATCCGAAACGAAATATATAATGCAAATCGAAATATGTTATTGAAGTTTATTGATAATAGATACAAACTTGTGGTGCGTGCAGTCGCAACATTAACCTTGAATTTTTAAAAATTTATGAGAGCTTGCATAGTTTTTATGCCGGAAAATATTTAAGTCATTATTATTTGATATCAGTATTGCAAGATAAATATTTTTTTAATCCACATGGCTGAACTACTAATCATATAATTTAACGATCCCTGCTCACAAAGATAACATTTTTGATAATCATTTTTTTAAATCCATAGTGAATTCCCACACGACAAAGCTTAACACCTTATTAAACTCGCGATGCCGGATTCTATATTCACAGATATGAATAAACATCCTTGTATCATCTCGCAATGTGTCAGGAAGTTGATTTGGCTCATAAATGTTTCCGATATAATATAAAATATAAAGTAATGTAAAAATCTGAGACTTACAATACTTTTTAAACTGCACAAAGAAACATTTACGTTTTCCTTCTAGTGTGTTACGATATTAATTATAGTATAATTACTTAAATAGTTTTTTGATTATATGAATGGCAATGGTAATCGTATTGTTAACAATTGTATTTTGTTTGGATTTTTAAAATTTATTTCCAACTAATGAATACATACTTTTTATACAATTAACTGTCCACATAACTAAATATGCATAGAAAATAGAAACATATTTGATTTTATAGAAATAAATCCCTTTTATCCATTTTAATGTGTGAAAAAAGTATTCGTACAATTCTAAAAAGAATGCATAATCTTTGTAGAATCGCCATTATTCCATTCTATAGCAACTAAACTCTTCTAGTAGTTCTCAATTACTGATTTGCAAATTTTAGTTTGTATTTGTTCCATTCTTCTTCCCCTATCGTCTTCAGATCTGGGATGATTCTTGGAGCTCTCGATGGGATTTGAATTTTCGAATAACGTCACTGTTTCTCGATTGTGTTTAAATCTTGGGACGGACTTTTCTATTTCAGGTATTTACATTATTTGTCGCAAGCCATGTCTTCGCAAATTTTAAACACACACACATACATATATATATTGTGTTTTTAGGTAGCAATCCCTGTTTTATACATGTTTCGTTAAAGCCGACTCAGAATGTTCTACGATTAAGCTTTTTTATCGAATTTTTCTTGTTTTTCACTGAATGTATTGGTTCTCTTATATATGTATCTAGAGTAATAGAAATGTTTTATTTTCCAAACACGGTCAGCACATTGTGTCCGTGTTAATAATTTCTGTTATTGAGTATTGGCTTTTTCCTTTTTATTATTAGGGATTCCATTATCTTTTTATACATGTGGATGAGGTTATTATACTTGTATTTTCGACTAATATATTTCGGATGCCGTCTCGCAGGTTTTGTGTGTGTTTAAACGAATTCTTATAGAGTTGTGGTCGGATATCTGTACCGTCTTGATAGGCATGTAGTAGTGTGACAGATATAATTATTTATGAGTTTGGTTTAATCAGGAAGATAGTTGAAGCATGAAACTGTCGCTGCTTCGTTTTGACCTCAATGTTCAATTTTATATTTACATGTGTTCTATCCTTGATATTGATGACTTTATCCGATAGTTATAAATTATGTCATACCTAAATATAGAAATATGAAAATGCCAGAAATTCTCTCTTTTTTCGTATCTCAGTCTCTGTTGAATCTATAATAATAGAGAAATGTTTAGACTGATAAGACTTTCCTATTTGTTCTTAATCTTATTATATGTGTACGTGGTCGCTCAGCTCGACATTGAAGTGACGAATTTAATATGTAAACATGTGTCAGTTATCTCTCTTTATCTTTTTCTCTCTATATATATAGACACAGACACACAGACACACACACACACACACACATATATATATATATATATATATATATATATATATATATATATATATATATATATATATACTCTCGTTTCGAAAACCATCGAATTTTTGATTTGCTAATCAAATCAATCTCGAGGAAAAAAAGGTTTTAAAAAAGAAAGAGCTACAGACATGAACTTCTGCCGATAAAAAAAGGGCACAGATGCAGGTCTGAAGCCCAAAGAAAAACCCCGATACGAATAACAACTAACTAACAAAAGAGCTCAATACAACCGTAGAGCAGACCTAGATAGCCAAACTTTCCCTGACGATCCGTTTAGGTGAAACCTAGGTAGGTTTGTCTGGCTCATTAGGTGTATATATGTATATATATATATATATATATATATATATATATATATATATATATATATATATATATATATATATATATAACACTAAAAAAAACTTATAAATATAAGCAGCTATACTCGTGGGTAAAACCTTGGGTGTTTTAGCTTGTGAATGAACAAACTAATACCCAAGGGGGAAAAAAGAGCCAGTTTCCCTGACGATCCGCGTAGGTGAAACCTAGGTAATTTAGTCTAGCTCTTTAGGTTTATATATATATATATATATATATATATATATATATATATATATATATATATATATATACAAAAAATAATCACATAGAATTAATCAAGTAGTTTTTGCAGTTTATTTGATGACAAAATGCTAAAACTTACGGACGGCCTTCCATCCATGTTCATCCATGTGTTGTTTATTGAATAAAATCAAACCTTGAGACGATTTAATGTCAAAAATGCTGAAAAACTTACAGACAACAAGTTTTTCAAAACTTCATGGATCAAAATCAGGCATTCTTGATGAACATAAATCAAAACCTTGATATATTATGTTTTTAGCGATGGATGTCGCCAATAATCGC